CAGCAAGTTAAAATTAAAAATACACTAGCAAGTAGTATGTGCAAGAAGAAAAAGAGTAGCAGGAAGAAAAAATGATGGATTTGTGATGAATCTGGATGTAGGCAGTATAAAGGGCCCCAGTCTAAATAGAAGCCACCAACTTGTCATTGAAGGAATGTACTTGCAGAGATCTTGTATATAAGATACTGGGTCTATGAAATACAAGACACACATGTAAAGTAACAAATATAAAAACTTTGTATGAAAAAATTTTGGAAGAATTTGTGGTGTTTCATTGAGCAAACAATATTCAAATATGGAAAAAGTCAGAAAAAGAAAGCAGACACCAGATTTATTCTCCATATGCATTTATAACTGGATGAAATGCAACAGGCTTATTACAGCAAAAAAAGATCTAGGTAAGACATTGGAAAGTCTTTCTAACTAAATAAAGATGGCTAGTGGAGTGGATTTCCATAATCTTCCTAAGAATCTCCATCACTGGAGTTTTTTAAGAATAAATTAGACAGACATTTAATCTGATCTGTATAGACAGCCACGCTTCAGAGGAAGGATGAAACTTTGTGTCTCGAGACCCAATTGTGCCTTTGGTTTTTTTTCATGATGTGCAGCCAGACTATTTTTTCCTAAATGTATTTCATCATTTGTACGTAATGCAGTGCCAAACACATTAAAATAAGGCTGCTTAAAGTGCGTATGAAAATAAACTCATCAAACTAATTTTTGTGTTTTTCCACTCATTACGGAGCTATCATGCTGAGGCAAAATACAAAATGGAGTGTGGCATGAATGCTCAGTATGGAAAAGCAAAACAAAAATTAAAAGTAAAAAAGTTAATCCAACACATCCATTTGTAACGAAAAATGTTTTCTGGTAATAAAACTTGCATTTTCACAGTACTCTTCTACTGGGAATTTCAAAGACCTTTCAGAAATTTTCTTAGCACCCCCGAGGCACTCTGGGAGGCGAGACCACAACTGTGCAGCTTCATATTGGAGACAGAAGCCCCAAAATGCCCAGGTCAAGTTCTAAAAGCTGCTGGCTCTCAGCAGGGTCTGGCCTGGCCTCCTCCAGCTGCAGCTCATCCCCTCTCCTTTGTCATGCTCTTTCAACGTCACTGTCACTTGTCAACTTGCAGAAATGTCTCGTTGCTCTCATCAACACTTAAACATGGAAAATCATCCTCTATGACAGGAATAAGTGTTGAGCTACTTCCCTTTCCTGAAGACCTCCACCAATACATCTATATACAGCAAACATGTAAACAGGGACTCCTATAAAAGAAAGGGTAGTTGGTATTTATTAATAGTAAAAATAATTATTTGCTTATATTTGGTATATTTATGTATAAATGTACAAGTTAATATATAAATATACAGGAATTGATATAAACAAACATGTAAAAAGAAAACAATTGTAATTATTTCTTAGATCTGGTTTCCTGTCTTCTCTCCTTAGTACAAAGGCCCAGGTAGATTTCATATGTTTGTACAGCACATTGAACCAAAGAGGCATTGCTCTTGGCAAGCATCTCTCATTGAAATGATAAAATGAGTAATATATTACACAGTTGTGTCTTAATGATACAGTCATTTACTTTGAAAAACTGAATGTGCATAAAGTTTATAACCTTGACTTGGTGGTTGTTTAGGTATTCACAAAAATAATTATTTAATATTGTTATTGTTTGACCAGTTTATGTGTCTGTTTTATGTTAACAGTGAATACTTGGGCCATGCAAATAGTAGTTGCTATATAAATGAATACTCCTTCATGTTCGTATTATTTTCATTTGGCAAGTTCTCAGAGGTAAATACATTACAGTAATTCTATCTGTTTACAGACAGTTAGCTGGACATCAAGATATATCTGTTAAATGTCTATTAAAAAAAAAAAGTACTTGTCTGGTATCAGGTGGATTCAATTTCTAAGAAAACTTAACTTTGCACTAATATGCCTTTTACCACCCTTCAATATCACACTTTGTGTATCACTATTAAAAGCAACAGCAAAAAGTATTTTCACAGTATAGGAGGAAAAAACCTCCCAACTCCCTAATAATGACAATAACCTCAGCCAAGGATATTTCTCTCTTTCTCTAAAATTAATAACTAGCTGGGGTTAATGTCCACTGGCTTCACCTTAGGCCCTCAATTAATCCCTGAACCTCAATTGTTATTACCTAATTGACTTAGTTTCATTTCATTTTAACATTTCAAAGTGATCTTCCTAAAATCACCCTGACAGAGTAACGTGGTCTCTGTAGATATGCACTGACATGGTTTCAATACTGTTACTTTGTCTCCATACACTTGCATTGACATTTCATTTTGTGTTGACACTGCAGTGCCACATCTATGGATCTGTGTAGATGACATGCAATTGTTCAGATTGAGTGAAAGCCTGGCCAGGAGCGAGGGCAGGCCAACATCTTACACAGGGACATGATGCCATATGAGAGCTACTAAGCAGAATTGCTGTTATTGTGAATGTTTGTTATCATTGCAAATATGATTTGTATCTTTGTAAACAGAAGAATTATCAAATTTCACTTGAAATCTTGCTGGTTTTCTTAAACAAACAAAATATTTTGATTTAGGTCAGCTTAAAAACCTAGCCTGAAAAATGTACCAGGTAATGTATTTAAAAGGAGCTGTTTTGATATTACCATTTAATGATTATATGAGGATGCACAAAAAGTTATACAAATTTTTTGTGTTCCAATCTCATAATACCAACACAAATAGCTGAATACTGTAAGACGGAACATGAAATCAAGAAATCTTTGTAAAAATAGGGCATCAAAATATAGTCTTTTTATTATCTGGAGAAATTTTTGAAAAGTCTTTTGAAGCTCTTTGATCCAGCTCTGAAATAATTTTGGTAGATTACTATTGTATGAAACCCATAATTTATAGTAGCTGACCTAAGCTGCTCTTTGTATAACAGCCATATATGAAACAATAGCAGGAAAGTGAAAAATACAAGAGGAACTAAAACTGCTCTGTTTATTATTTAGCTCATAATTACATCTTCCTTATTTAATCTTTTGAATCCTGGCATGTTTTTAATAATACAGGTTCAGTTAATATTTACTATACACAAGAGAGTCAGTTTTGAGTAACACATTTAGACTATCCAAACTTTGTCTAACTTGTGACCTTTCCCTAACCTAAGCGAGGTCTATTTTATACAGATTGTACTAGATAGACGGTTTCTCTATAAATGGTGAAGTTGCTGCCAAGTTCCCATTGTTAGCTAGTTCATTTTTCGACAGGCACTTTAGGTTCCTATCACACCACTGTAAAGAGCGAGCCCTTGAGGTTTCTTCTTTTGTCAACGTAATAAAAAGGTTATTTTTGAATAACCTGCAAATCCAAAACAAATGGCTCTTTGTGACTTAGCATAATAGGATAGGAGGAATTTTTTTTGTTGTTTTTGCAGGCAGCCTCCTATTTTATTCCATAATATCATATCAATACTTAAGCAGCATTCGTCTTAATGTAATTAATCTCATCCTCAAAATAAGAAATGCACATTTCTAACAACTTTTCCCTTTGCTCAGTATTCACCATCTAACTGCAGAAGATCCCTTCAGAAGAAGCTTTCTAAATAGTAAGACTACATCAGATGAAGTACCAGCAAGAATCGAGTTCAATTCTGTGTACATTTTGTTGACCTTTGAAGAGTTGTTATCAACTGTTAAATAACAACTGCCTTTATGATGTACAAACTTTTGCCAGATCAACTGTGATGTGAAAATGGGGAGATAGCCACCTTTTCCATTCTGAGCCAAGTAGATTTTGGCACAGGAGGAAAGCTAAACCTTTGACTTCAACAAATCTCCTTGAAGAAGTACTGCATATACAAGACATGAACTTGCAGAAAGGAAGTGTCCTTAATGAAAGAGACCGCTGTGATAGCTAAATTCTTAATACTGCACATGCCTACTTTCCAGTAGCACAGATGCACTCCTAACTTAGTTCTTCGTGCAACTGTACTCTCAATAGAGGTTGAGTGATTATTCTGCACTAGTTTGCTTAGTGAACAGTCCTAGCCTGCAGAAACAACCTATGTTTCAAACCAAGAGAATGAAGAAGAGCATCACAATACTTCCACAATACAAAGCCATGTGGTAATGTGAGGGCAGTCTCCTTGCCATTTAAGGCTGCTATTTAAATGAGAGTAAGAGCAAAATTGCTTGAGATGGTTGGTCCGTCCAAAGGCATACAGAACTGGAAACAGCACTCTTCAGATGTAGTAATAGCAGGAGGTAGAAAACACAGGACAGAATTTTCAAATGGGACACGTGAGCAAATAGGATAATGAATAAATAAATGGGAAATGGTTGAACTAAGATGGAAAATTAAAAGAGGAGGATTTAAAGGCAAACTGAAAGAGGCATGAACAGTCTTCTGTAGTAGTCTAGATGGTGGAGAAATCCAAGAGCAAATACCAGAAAAGTATGACTTTTTTGAAAGAGCCAATATAACAAAACAGGAAGAACATTATTCATGAACTACCAGTACTATTAATGTAATGAAGTAAGACATTTGGTCCCTTTTCTTCAGCTTTAGGTCATAAGTTTTATTCTGCTCTGAGCCGTCTTTAGGGAAAGATCATTAAACTGATAGTAATAATATGTCTCCAGAATACAGGAATGGTAAAAAACCCAAACCACTTTCTTCTTATACTAGAATGTGTGACCCACTCTTGTGCTGTTACTCCTGTATAAGGAAGTTTTACTTCCCTGTTTGACACAATTTCATCAATTCCTAAAGCTCAGAACAGACCTTAATACAGTGCCTGTAAGAGCAGATGCTTGGCAAGTCTGTGTATGCCAGTGAGAATATCATTCAATTTTATGCACACTTCTGTTTTCTGGCTTGGTATAATTCATTAGCACACTCTACAAAATACCCCATAAAACTGAATTTGGCTTTAATGTTAAGGTTCTAATGACTACAGCATTGTTTAAGAAAACAAACCCAACAAAAATCTCACAAAGAGCAGTCTCTCCTCTTTAATATTAAAGTTGATGTTTACACCTGATAAACAGAGAAAATATCCAAAGGATTATACAGTACACAAGTAGGAATAACAAAATAGTCCTAATTTTTTTTAATGTTTTTGTCTTCATCATTTAAATAATGACACAGCATAGTTTTTGTGGTGGCAAAGCTTTTTTGATAGCATGTAATGGAATTTGTACAATACGTACACTTTTGTGGCTTATTTCATCCTCATTCTAATAAAAAGATTCCTAAAGTGGGCAATATATGAAGGTGAGGTTAAAGCTTTGATTAAAGACAGCTGTACTGCTTTCCAACCTGTTATGTCACAGCATTAAGTAGAGGAATAAATGAACAAATATAAGCCTAACCTGATTTATCTGTGTGTCTCCACATAAATTTGTTTAACATAAGAACAAATAAAGCAAAGCTTTGATGGAGGTTGAGTAGAATTTTCAACATCTGTGCAGATAAATTTAATTTATTCAAAAAGAAAAAGCAGCATTAGTGCATCATGTAAAAGCTGATTTAAATTATTTCATACAACAGAAAGCATATGCAGTAGCTAGAACAAATTCAGTTTGCCTTTAAAACCCATTTCACTCAGACAACCATTATTTCTGAATTTTCTAGTATGATAATATTCTGTTATTTCTTCTTTTTTATTCTCTTCCTAATTTTACATATTCCACCAACTAAACTCACAGTTAGAAGTCCCAGGGGCAGCAACACCCTAAATGCAGCTTCTGTGTATCTTTATGGGCAGATCCTTAAAGCTGGTCAGGTAAAATAAGATCAGCACAATACCTTAAACATTTGAACATAAATAAATTACAGGTGTTTTTGAATATTTTTTTAAAATAAATCTTTTCACTGTAACACATTCAAACCCAGGAAAATATCTCTATATAACAATAACTCACTGTAATGGAGCTATACTAGCTTATCTCTGCAGCAAGGGACAGAGAACAGGAAGAACAAAGAGTTTTTTTCCTGAAAATGAAAGATTAGTCAAAATGATAAATTCCTGTCTGAAACTTATCAGGAAGTGTTAAGGTGAGAATTAAAAATTAAAAATCAAAACACTGTGTATGCACCTGAAAATCATAGCTGACAAATTTCTGAACAAGATTAATGTTTTTTTAAGTCAAGTCAAGACTGTAAAGTCTGCACATGATTTTTGAAATCATACAGGCACACAAAGTATCACTTCAACTAAAAAATGGTGATGTATATGCATTGTAACGTTTTAAAGACCCTTTCCTTCTGGAAAAGGTTATCAGTTTGTGCTTTAGGGAGACTGTTCTCTCACCTTTAATTCTACAACAGAATCCATACCTCTGCTTCTCTGAAAATCTGAACATGATGAGCATACAGGCAAAACTCTCACTGACTTTTCAAAATACATTGTCTGTTCCTGAATACCAGTCAGCAAAGACAAGAGTATTGAAGTCTGTCAAGCCCAATAAGCTGCTGTCATTAAAAAGCATCTAACTGAGAGCACAAACCTGAGTGGTGATGTGGAGGAAACAGAAGAGACTGAACTCAAAACTTCAAGAAGGGCTAACACCCTTGTACTAACACCCAATGTACTTCTGATCTTGGTGGTTACAACAAGAAAAAAAGCAAGACTCTTACAAGAAAACAAGTACACAGGAAACTTCTGTCCATTTGTGTATTTTATTTGTCTTGTGGAACCGATCCAGCACGAAGCACTTTCATGTTGTTTTTTTTTTAAAATTCTTCTTCTTGAACACCAGGATGGTAAACTTTTTCAGAAATAACCCACACGGAGAACTCCTGCATGTTGTTCTTTCAGCCTTCAGAATGCCAGAAAACTGCGTGCTACAATACCTACAGGGGTCAAGACAGATTTCTTCCTTAAAGTCAGTTAAGAGAAAAATTCCTAGGTAGAGATTCCCTAGGGGTGGGGGAGAGGAAAAGACAAAACACAAGTTATTTCTTAATCATTAAAATATTAAAATACTTGTTAAAACCCCCAAAAAACTAACCCCAAACTTTGTAGGCTTATATACATAAAATAAAATCTGTGCTCTTCACTTTCACCCCCCATAAAAATACCCAAACTTAGATTATTTTCTAATTGTTAACTTGGTATTCCATTGTTCATTTTAACAATGAGATAGTGATGAAACACATATACCAATTATTCTCTCAAAATCTGGCTATTTACTGTAACAGCCATGATCCTGTCTTACCACTTGGGCTTTACGAGCTCTGCATTATATTGTTTTAAGCCCCAAAACAACAGTCTTTACCAGATTTCCCCATCACCATAGGTGTCTGAGTCACATCACTAGCACTGAATAAACTTGTGAGTGAAACCATAAAAAGCACTTAATTTTAAAGATGACTCTGTAACGGGGATAAAAACCGAAAGCTCCACCTTTCAGCCCATGCATTTTTGTCTTTGTTTCGAATGCTAGAAGAAACCATACGGAAGGAAGAAAGATTAGAGTATTTAGAAACTAGCTGTTTGACAGAGGCAGAACTGCTGATAGTGAGTGGGTTGTGTCTGTCTTTTTTGGCTGATTGCAACAGAGGCCTGAAGCAAAACAGAAACTCTTGATAAGTTTGCGTAAAGCGGCAGTAGCATAAGGGCGGGCAGCAGGAGTTCAGCTGAAGTTCAGGGCAGATGCTGCCATTAGTTTACACTGCAGGAAAGTAAAATTGCTTCTGGATTTACCTCTTCCTCCCAACATCAGTGTTGAGCCATGCTGTGTCGCAGAGTCACAATGTCAGTAGGAAAGCAGTCTTTTAGCAGGATACCACGCTCACGATGGCAGTCCAGCTCTTCAATAAATCCATACCAGTAGATGACTAATCCAGGGCCAAATCTATCAAGCAAAAAAGAAAAATGAACTTATGTGATTGTGTTAGGGGAACTTTAATTTCCCACCTCTGTGATTCCAATACAAGTAAATCTGTTAATTTCACTGCAAAATTGGAGAGAGTATTTGACCTCCATTTAATTTTCAGATTTCGGCTGATGTTCAATTGATAGATGTCAATAATACCTGATTCCATGAATAAAAATGCTATTTAGAGACTCAAACAATCTACATCAGTCTTTTTTCTCCTTTGAACACTCTGCACATATCAGCAAAAAAATAGCTATGTATTAAATAATATTAAATAACTTTGATATATATGGAAATGTCTCTTCCCACACACTTGGCTTTTTTAGATTTGGGGGTGTAGACATTAAAAACACAAGAGTTTTAGCATGTCTCAGTTCATGCAAATGATAATACCATGAAGATAACAATGAATCCTTAAAATATAATCTCTACAATGAGCTATTATTCAGGCAATTATTAACATAAAGCACAATTCAGAAGAAACAGAAAGTTTGTGCTGTAACGTCTCTGAAACGTGCCTCAAGAATTCCTCAGATATTGCTAACTCTGATCCCCACTAGGCAAACTCAGGAAGTAGCCCCATGGACTATTTTACCCATCAGGAAGTTCAGACCTTCAGGCTGGGTTCATAAAGAAGTAATCACTATCAATCACTGTGTACTGTGATATGTTTTGCACATCAGTTTCACGTTTTTCCTACTGAGAGCACTTAATTAAAGGGCAGCACTACTTCTGGTGTAGTGTTGCAGGAATTTTACAGTGGAATCATAAATTATGAATGTTGGGTTAGTAAAAGGATGTCTAAAAACAGAACTGCTTTCTGTAGTCTAACATTACAGCAGTCTGTACAACATTAGGCCAAAAAGCTTTTTCTTCCTTGATTTATTATATGCTGTAGCGAACTTGCCAAAACCAACAGTGCAGGATGAGCTGTTAGATACCGACTGTACAAGAAAAAGTTCAATAGAATGTCATGTAATGGTTTATATGCAAAGTTATGCTCAGGACTCAACCAATATGGTAGACAATTTTTGTTAATGGTTAATTATAATAAAAACGTGATGAGAGGAGCCATGGTAACCTAAATCTCCCCTGAGCAGAAAATACAAGCACTCAAAGCCATGGGTAGTACCAGACTGGCTTCATGAAGGTGGTTTCTTTCCAGCAGTGGGGGGAAACTCTATTTGATGTGCTTATCTAATGAAATAGGCATCAAAAGAAAAAGAAACCTCGGTGGCTTCCTCCTGCAGTTTCAATTAGATACGGCAGTCTTTTGCCTGAAACTGCTCCAGAGCGTTGTAACATTGTCTATGGCTACTACTCTTCAATCTCGAAGTGGCCACAGTTCAGTGGCAGAGCAAATAACCCCTAAGTGCAGCTGAGGCCACAATGACAAATGTGCTATTTGTAACTGAAAGATGATATTTGAAAGCTGAAAGGTTAAAACTCTGACAAATCTGGCTACACTAGATAACACATCCTAACATGTCTGGCAATAAATACAGCTCAGACTAAAAAGTGGCTAATGTGGAAGGACAATGCTGCCTGCACGCAATTCCTAACTTTTCTCTGGCTGGCCAACAACTTCAGCCTCTACTGTCTCTAAGGATATTGTCCTTTGTTCAAGTTCACGTGGGGGCAAGACATGCAGAACCTCAATGTACTGGGGAGGCCAGATAGCAGGAGCAAGGGGCCAATGGCAGATGAGGCCAAGGACTGATGCTCCCAGCCTCTGGTGAGAGACAGCAGTTTGCTGATGCTGGATGGACCCTTACTTTTGTTATTTCACAGACTGTGTATCTGTTCCCACATCAAGCAAACAGAGAAATGGGATAATTGGGTGGGGATGTACTTATGTACTAACCAAAGTTATTTTAAAAGCAAAAATCCCCGGAACATAGGGAGCAGACCTTAAATTTCTAATGGGTTACTTTGTGCAAGGCAGAAGCTATGAAATGTATGTAAGTAGTTACTGATTAGGAGCACGTGTGCCAGGTAAAATCCTTATGCTGCTGCTCACCCAAGTTTTGAAGGGCTCATTTTGCTGTGTGGCAGTCTGAATCCCTCATTCATCGTAAAATGCATGTGGCACTCTACTTAAGTAATTTCTTAAGTTATTTTTTGAAACTGTAATTTTAAATAAAATTACTATTTTGAGACAACTCAAAAGGCTAATTTATGTCTTTCTAGCAAATCACCTCAGCTTAAGCACAATTTTTGAGGCACTTAAAAAATTATGTTCAGAAATGCCAAATTTGGTAATAAAATTTATATACAAGAACATCTATAGATTGTTAATGGCAGGAGCAAGTACATCTTTAGCACGAAAATATCCATCAATCCTGCTTTTGACTGTGGTGTTATAGCAAAACTGTTTGCCTTGTGCTGCCTAGGTTGAACTTTTTCCAACTCTATTGTGTCATTCCTTCTATTATAGCTCTATAGCACACAACTCCTGTATGATCACATAAAAACCCACACCATACTTTTGTTTAAAAGCACTTAAGTGCGCTACTTAAGACCAAAATTAACTTGCTGGCACATTAAGCATTTGCCACTGACTATCAGGAACTCCTGCTGCTAAGTGCTAATTTCTCTCTCATTAACACCCAGAGTTGCCAAATCACAAACAATGCCACTGGTTAATTATTGCTGCCTTAATTTGAAACGACATTTAACCTTTTTGTGAAAGGGGATGAGGAAGGGAAGGGTAACTTAAAGTAAGAACTATCCTTTTTAATTCGACTCCTTCCAAAGTGTGGATATGACAGCAAGATGATTGATAGTCAGGCAACAAAATGACTTCTTGCATCACTGGTAACATTTAACAAGTTAGTGAATAACCGTGGTTTCCACACGAGAATGAACTTAAATAACAGAATGCTCACTTGGTATTCCTATGGAAAGGGGGACACATCCATTAGCTCTGAGGAGGAGAGAAAATCTTTGAATGTACTAATTGGTTCTACATCGTAATATAGACACAAGATAGGCCAGGTTATTTCATGTGAAAGACACATTGGAGATAGTTTAAGATTAAACTGAAAATCTATCTTAGAATGTAATAAACTACTGGACTCCTTGCATTTTCTTCTTCCTCAGAAAAACTGAATAAATTCCTGAGAATGTACCTAACTTCTATTTTTCCTCCCTTGTCTTTCTTTAGTTCTTCACCTGAAAAGCCTAGGTGTGAAGGAACGTATCCAAATGTTATCCAAAACTGTAGATTCAGCTATTTCAGTGAAACCAGTGCTTTTAAAACTTTACTTTTATAAGGAATTTCTTCTCAAAGCTGAAAAGAAATCCAAGTAACTAAGGTTTGGTTAATTCCGTGCAACCAAAATAGAATAAACAGCAAATACAGAGGCAAGCTTCCTTCAGCAAGTGAAAGTTGTCCACACAGGTTGCATCAGTTTACCTAAAAATCAACCAATAACTAGGTAGTTACCATTATATAAATCCTGGTTTAGTCATTGTCTAGTTTTGACATTAGAAGTTGTGACTACAACGCAGCCAAAGTCAACTTAGCTGTACTTGGGGTCTGAGTACCAGAAGTGCCAAAAGGGAGGCAGGGAGGTTTATGACCCCAAGACATGGCAAGACCAGAGCAGGATTACAAAAACTTGCGAATTAGTTTAGGCCTGATTTAGGCTTGATATAGAAGACTAAATTTAGTCTAAGCTCTAAAGGCAGAAGACAGTGTCTTTCAAAGAATCAACCAAAGCATTTGAGATAGATGACGGAGATAGTAAAATACAGTTTGAGTGCAGTTAAATATAGTTGCAGGCTCAACAAGTTCTTTAAATAAAATTTACATCTGACCATACCATTTGCTCTAAGTAAGTCAGGGTTGCACTAATTTCAGATTGTTCAGAGGAACTCTTGTACTGGTTTAATGACACAAATTTTAAAAGAGACCCATAGTTAAAGAAGTACGTCAATAATCCTGGGACACTGGGTTTTGATTGGAAAGCAGTTTCACAGAGATATGCTGAAAAGCCAGGAAGGTAAAAATCAGATAACCCAAAGCCAAATGGTTATTTGCCTTAAGAAAAACCACCACCACCACCACCACCGACAACAACAAACCAAACAAGGAATCATTAAAAAAAAAAAAAGGAACAGAAAACAACTAAGTAAAATGCGAATCTGGATTTAACTTGCCCTCCAGTTGAACCAGTTTTGTGCTAGAATATAAAGAAAACTTTAATTTATTTATCAAAATGGCCTAGTAGGCTCACCCATATTCTACTTCACTTTGAGAAAAACTACTTTATAGTAATGTCTTTTCTTCTGGAATGTCTGTGTGGGGTCCATACTAGCTTCTAAGGATTTGCCTAAACATGTGGCTATTGTGAGGCCATTTTTTCACCATCAAAAAGCCTTGCATGTGGTTTTATAAAAAATGCATTTTCAACACACTGCTTGATACTGAAAAGAAATGTAAAACAACTTGCAATTGTTTTTATACAAATGTTCATCTCACTTAGTCTATTTGTTACAGATGGGTTTTACGCATCTCAGCATAATGTAAATAATTTGAATTCCAAGAGACTCTCATAATAAAATGGTGGCATATAAATTATTATTTCTATTATGCATGCATTTAAACAAATATTTTATCAAACAGATTTAGCCAGGTATTAATGTTATGAAAGCATAACAGTCTACCTGGTTGGTGATTTTCATTATGAAGGTCAGAACTGAATGTGTCTTTGAAGGACTGCATTCTGGTCTCCCTCACTTTTCAATGTCAGCTAAAAACCTGGCTTTGTTTTCTTGATTTTCTTTTTAAATATGAAGCAAATAAGAGCACTACCATTTGCACATCACCATTTATTTCCTGGTGAAGGGGAGTTACAAAAGTTCACAAATAAATTATTACATTCTAAGTCAATTTAACATGGTTCTTCAGAATCACAGCTGTGAGCAAACAGGTTTTACTTGTAGTACTAATAAACCCTGAAGATAAAATA